TTATTTTAATTCGTACTATCAGTTTCTGTTTATTAAAGAAATGCAAAACCTATTCTTGTCGAAGTTTTGTTCCAAATGCCATGCTTCTGTTGCAGCATTTTCAGGAGTGTAATTTTTTATTTTGTTCACAAATTCCTTCCGTATTCCACGTATACCCAATTGGATTGTTGCTTGCATCCATTCTTCTTGAACGTTTAGCTTTGCTGGTTTTATTGCTGTTACTGCCTACAACTCGTTTTATCCTCTTGAACGACATAATGCATAGCTTATTCAATAAATATCACCATGAGAAGTATCTAACTTTAGGTTTGCGAATGAATTTTCGACCGACGATTTGTTCTTGTGTAATTAAACGATTCTGTCGAGTTTTTTTATTCATAACTTTACTTCCACTTTCATCAGGAAGTACCGAACATCGCATCCGCCCATGTGACATGATACGTCGCTTAAAAAAAAGCAAAACTGGTTTAAAAAAAAATAGAAAGGAGGTCATGTTATTGCATAAGTTGATAGAATCTAGAAGTGGATAGCTTATAAAAGTAAGTTCAATTTTGGAGTTGATGATCAAGTAACGAAACATAGTAACAGTAAGACTTTTTTTTAAAACATATTGTATTGATTTGTTCCCAATGTTCGTACTATATAGATCAGATTGATTCTATATTTCATTGAGAAAAAAAAAGACACAAATGACAATTTTGCAATCCAAACACTCAACCAATAATTTCAAAACGTTACAAATAATTACCTTAGTTAAGCGGTCATCTTTCTTTTGGTTTCAAATTGTGCTAAAATAACGTGGAAGTTCACTTAATTAATCGTACCTTATCACGCTTCATTGTGCCTCCGAAATTAGACTTGAAGTATGCACCACGGTTGCCTTATAAATTTATACAATTAAAAAATGAATCATTCCATGTTACAAGTCTCTTTTGATCTTCCTTCAAAGTTATGAATTTTGCATATATTAATAAATTACATTACACTGGTGACATTTTATCAAACGATTTCCCATGCAAACAACGTGTGTATGACGTACGTGTAAGTGACGTGTACATGTGTAAGTGACGTGTATCATGAGTTTGTGAGTCATGTGTGGCCCATGTAATGTATGTGACATACGTGTGAGTGAATGTGACGTGTTAGGGCGGTGTGTTACTTATGCGGGTTTATGACGCACGTGTTCGCGATGCAATGCACACATATGCCATATACACATCACATACACTAAGTCGCACACATGTCATTAGGCGTACGTGACATACTCGTCCTTAACGTACACCACATACACCACTCGTATGTACGTCACAAACTCTTACGTCACATGTATGTCACTTGCATGTACGTCATATGCATGTTGCATACGTCTACGTCACATATACGCATGTCACAGGGACTAATCACATACACGTACGTCGCATAGACATACATCACAGACATATCACATATATTACGTAGACGTACGCCGCGTATACGTATATCACATACACGTCACAGTCAAGCATGTCACATAAACTACGTTACGTCACGTAACATCAAAACAACGAATAAGAATTAAAAT